CTGCTACTGCTTCTGAACTTGTAGGTTTAGGTTCTGTTAGTGATCAGGTTTATAGTGATGGACTTCAGGTTGTTGTTAATTTATCACATAGGATATTAAGCGAGGCGGAGAATGCACTTCTCTCAATGATTTATCGTTCTGCCCTACCGCGACCGAAATTGGTCTTTATACTCTGAGGAAGGATGTGTTAAACTACGTAAGAAGGATCCGTTTGAAAAAATATTTCTACAGTGACGAGGAAAGCGATGGGGATTTCTCCGAGATTCCGGCTTTTAGAAAAACATCTAGCTGGTGACCGGACAAGAATAGAGATCTCTTTCTTGAAGCGTACGCGAGTGCGCAGGAGGAGAAGATCTTCCGGGAATCCAACCTAAAGGAGAAGTGCCACCGGAACCTCACCAAAGAAGAACAGAAAGCTCTCAAGGATTTAAGGAGTTATGATGACATCGTTATCAAACAGGCAGAAAAGGGATCAGCCGTGGTTGTTATGGATAAGGAACGGTACGTCGCAGAGGCTACGAGACAATTGGGTGATAGTGCAGTATATGTCTCTTTGGAGTCGGACCCCACCGGGCTTATGATCGAGAAGATTAACGACAGGTTGAACAAAGCGTATGGTGATGGACACATAAGTGACCGAACTTTGGAGTATTTACTTGTTAATGGCGGGGCGAGGGCGGGACGGTTTTATCTTCTGCCTAAATTACATAAGAGAGGTTGTCCAGGTAGACCAGTTATCTCTGGATGTAATACGCCAACGGAGAAGATGTCGGCATTTGTTGATCACCACCTGAAACCGCTCGTCGCAGCGGTACCATCTTATGTGAAGGATACGAATGACTTTCTGAAAAAGCTCCGTGACATCAGTACGCTCCCTAGCGGCGCAATAATGGTGACCATTGATGTAGTGGGATTATATCCCCATATACCTCATGATGAGGGACTACAATCTATCAGGGAGGCTCTCAACAATCGAGAGAACCCGGAAACACCGACAGAGACAATTGTAGACCTGGTAGAGTTAGTGCTTAGGACTAACAACTTTGAATTTAATGAAAACCACTATCTTCAGACTTTAGGGACGGCTATTGGTACGAAAATGGCACCGTCTTATGCGAATTTGTTTATGGATAGACAGGAGAGAAGGTTGTTATCCCAGGCGCACGTAAAACCTTACATCTGGTTACGATACATCGATGACGTTTTCATGGTGTGGACGGGGACCGAGCTTGAGCTGGTGGAGTTTTTGAATTATATTAATGAAGCCCATGACACGATTAAGTTCACTTGGGACTGGACTAGAAAGAGGATTAATTACCTGGATGTTGAGGTAATAAATAACAATGGAACAATAGAGACTGATTTGTACATAAAGCCGACGGATAAACACCAGTATCTGTACCACACTTCGTGTCATCCCCGGATGTGTAAGGAAAGCATACCATATGCTCAGGCTTTGAGACTTCGAAGAATCTGTTCTAGGCTGGATTGGTTTAATCACATGGCTGCTGGTCTATGTAGGTTTCTTATAGCCGGGGCATAAAAAAGCATTTGTTTTGAAGCAAATTAGGAGACCGAGATTGAAAACCAGAGAGGAAACATTGGCACCACACCCTAGGAATGCAACTAACAGAGTGCCAATGGTAGTGACATACCATCCAAGTCTTCCTAACATTGGTAGCATCCTACGTGAACTTCAGCCGCTCTTGCATTGCTCAGAAAAATGTAGGAAAGCCATCAAAGACGTACCCTTCATGGCATTTCGAAGACCCAAGAGCCTGGGGGACTACTTAGTGCACGCTAGACTTAGGCCGTCAACGCGTCTGGAGCGGAGCTCGAAGGGGACAGTGGTGTGTGGTAACAGACGATGCCAGGTCTGTAAGTACCTGGAACCGGGAGAAAGGTTTACCTCTTACAGAAATGGAAAGAGCTATACAATTAACTACGAACTGGACCGTAATAGTAGTAATGTTGTCTACTTGCTGTCCTGTAAGGTTTGTCATGCGCAGTACGTTGGGTCAACAACAACAAAATTTAGGCTTAGGTTTAACAATCATAAGGCCCGTTTTAGAGCGCATTCAAGGCTTTCTTTTGAGGGTAGAAACAAGGAAACAAGGATGATCTTTTGTATAGACATTTTTTTGACCCGGGACACCATGGTCAGTATACAGTTAATTGACAGACTGTCCGGGGAAGAATCAGCTCTCCGGGATAAAGAAGGTCATTGGGCCTATAGGTTGAACTGTATTCAGCCTCAGGGCTTGAATATAAGTGACTTTTTTTACAGCCAGAATAGGGCGACTAGGTCTCGCGTCCGGTAAGAGCGCGCGTGTGTTTATCTTTCTTTGTAGCGCGTGCAAGTTTTCAAATTTCACAGAAGTTCAGGTTTCACGAGTGATGATCGTTTTATTGCTACAGAACTGTTTCGTATGGTGCAAGGACCAATGTAAACCCTACAGCAGCATTAACCAAAAATGTAGTCTTTGCCTGAATGAAAAGTTCATAATTATCTGTAAAAAAGAACTGCGTAGCCTCAACAGAAGAAACGAATTAGCAAGTTCATGCCCCCACAGAAACCGATATGTACTTGGAAACTTTAGATTAACGTAGCTTAAAACCCGCTTATATCACATTTTTTCTAACGACAGATAATCCCTCTTATATAATGTTTTTGTTACCTAGCAACCCTTTCAACAGTTTCATATAACCTGAATGTAACGCATCTACCATAGCAACCATTTAAATTTTCGCATTTAACTGCCAGCCTTCCAATTCTAATAGTTCAGTCGTCAAAATTGCCTGATGAGTGTAAAACGATGATTACTCGCGAAACCTGAACTTCTGTGAAGTTATATATATATATAACAGTAAACCGCTCCTTAATTGTTGAGCACTTTTCTGGATCCAACGGTGAATTACCTGGATTTGTTTATATATATATATATATATATTAATAATCACAGGAGTTCAGGCTTCAGGAGTAATCATTGATCGTTTATTGCGACAGTGCTGTTTCGTATGGTCCGAAATTGTAGGACCACACTCATCAGGCAACTTCAACGATTGACCGTTAAAATTAAAAGCTGTTTCGTGTGGTCAAAGAATGGCCACACTCATCAGGCAATATTCACGAATGACTGAGTATATATACAATGCAGTGTTGAAGGTTTAAGTAAATCCAGTTTACAGGCTAAAATGTGTAAATTCTTAGCTGCATTTGTTGCCTCCCTTCTATTTGAAAACTGAACCTGTCAAAGAATGATTAATATCACAATTAGCAACTGAAAATTTGCTCTAAATTAGAGGTTCTGCAAATAAGACATAGGTTCACTATTTCAGTAAGACTGAGTGGAGTCCAATTTAGTCTGCAACCATACATGTACAAGTGTTTAACAAAATCAGACAACTGTCTAGCAGGAGTCCAATTTGTTTAATCACGAGTACAGCTGTACAACACTGTATGATTACTGACTCAATTAGAGGACATGAAGGTCTGTTAGACTAATGATTAGTAATAAAAAATTATTAATCATAACTTTTTCAAAAGAAAAGAAAAAAAAAGGAAAAGGGAAAAGGTCAACACATGGACAGTTGTATATATGAGCCAGTGCTTTTGTATAAATTGTGACTACATAAACTCGTTGCCTGTTGATAAATAATAATAAAAATAATAATCAAGAAAATGCATATTGTGGTTATTGCTGTACAAAATAGTCAAGTAAATAAAAAAATTGGAGAGTTAAATTTTGGTATCAATAATAAATTGCAACGGACTAATGCCATATTGAAATGTTGTGATTAATGTCTCTTTTAGTACTGGCACGTATAAACCAGTCCACTCATCTTCATTACCATGAGCCAACCCATTTTATAAACCACTCTCAAATGAAGCTGTTGCTTGATAAAGTTTGATAATTAGGATTTCCGTACGGCCGGGGTACGGCTCATACATTATGCTTGCAGGAGCCATTTTCATACTATTTCACACAAATAGTTGATGTGAGGGGAATCGAAACATAAGACTTAAGCTTACATGTAAGCTTAAATGCGTAAAATATGATCTGAATATGGCTGTACGGAAATATTACACGTACAGTATATGAGTATCTTGTTAGCTTTAATCTGTTACAATGCTTCGCTACATATCGTACCTCACTGTACACTGTAAAGACTGGTCCATCTTCCGCTTTGATGTAGCTGACGATTTTTTTCCCTGTAAAACTATTACAGCACTGTATATTCCCCAAAAACTCGCCTTGAAGTTGAAAATGATGGCTGTTGATTACTCGATCAAAGTTCGATTGGTTTTTTAGTGCTCACGCTGTAAAAATGGTCAGCAGTGATGTTCGAATTACAGGCGCGGTCGGCGCGGTCGCAAGGCAAACCGGTTTGAGGGCGGTTCAAATTGAAACTAACGGCCTGGCTAGTGTTGGGTTTTGTTAGCTCTGATTGTAATTTTAGGAAGAATCTTCGTATTCAAAACATGCTTTAACCTTTAGCGTAAACGTTTAAGAAACGTAACTTGTTGCGCCACTGTGAGGAAGCATATAGTCGATCTCTTTTTTTGTGTACGTAACATGTAACGAAAACTTCGCACCGCTGATATCAGATCATCGGCTTGATTCCGGAAACGAGTTTAGGAAAGTTTTTTTTCTAATCATAGTGCTTGTTTATTGTAGATTACTTGCTACTAAAGCGAAATAATGATAGTTTCGTTGTTGTGTGCTGGGGCACAGTCAGACACAGCCGCGATTACAGTTCAACTCGATCATGATGTAAGAAATAACACCCATTAAGCTAATGGCTTAATGACATTTTTGTGAAGGGCTAATTTCCTGGTTGTTTGTCTTATCTGCATCTGGGATGGAGATAGGGAAATAGTTAGAATTCCTTGCAGACTCAAATCATGCAATCAATGCTTTGTAATTCATTGTTGGTTCAGATAGCAACGCAGGAACATCGTCAGTCTTTGACTCAATTTCTACGCACCGTGCTAAGTTATGGCTGAACCTCGGGTTTTGATTTTGGGGCACTCCTTCATCAGGCGTTTGCATGAGTTGATACGTCTGCCTACAAACGCTTTACGGGAGGATTTTGACATTACCACCCCTATGAACCTGCGCTGGCATGGAGGAGGGGGACGAACTGTGGCCAAAGTCATACGCTACGATTTGGAGATAGTCCGACAATTTTCGCCTGACATTGTTATTCTACAGTTGGGTACGAACGATATCAGTGATCGTTCAATCCGTTCTGCTCTAACTGTCGGTTCACAGTTAGAGGACCTAACAAAGCTATTACATGAACAATTCGGCGTAACCGTGGTTTGCGTGTGCCAAACTATACTAAGAGAGAACGCGCACTTAAACGTACGCATTCGCACGTTGACGGATTATTTACGCGTTGTCCTACAGCCCCTTCCATTTGCATTTTACTGGAGACACAGGGATTTTGGAGGACAACACAGTCATTCTTATTGCACGATGGAGTTCATCTGAACCAACGTGGACAGTTTAAACTTTATCGAAGTTTGAGGGGAGCTTTGATCCAATCACTTAAAGTGTTTAATGATGTACAAAGTTGGAGTCTTAGATCTGTAATGTACCTCATTATTTCCTCTTTATTGGACATACCGCCAAGTTAAATATTCTTTTTGCGTTGGTACTTGGTAGTGTAATTCGCCATTGTACTCACAACGTATTGTTTGTCCTTGAGCCTTGTTTGGCCGGTCACGGTCGATTTTATGCTTTGTCTCCAAATGAGTGGGCCGCCTGTGTTGCGTGCCATAACACTCGGAGTCCCAAGCTATTTGTATGTATTTGAGGATACGAGCGTACGATCTAATGGCAATTCTTAATTTTAATACCGCATTTATTTGACCTGTGGCAGTTATTGCGATACAACTACAGATTACGAGTTACACGAGAACATTAATACGTTTGGATAAATTAACAATCTCTATTCTTTACAAGTATACCTCCACGAAGTAAGCGTCCGAGACGTTCTGGCCCTTCTGCCTCTACAGTAAACAGCATGGCAACCAGTACCGCTAGCAAGTCGAGCAGCTTGTCAAATAGTACCTCTAATCAACAAGACGGCACGATGCAAGTACATGTTACAGCGCTGTCCAGTGCCCTTTCTCTGGCTGTCCAAAAGGCCGTCCAGGACGCGCTACGACCGCCACCGTCAGTAACAACGTCAACTAACGCAGCATCAACGTCGACCGTGGTGTCCGCCCACGTGCCTACTACAGCCTCGATAGTCCAGGATTCTGTTGTGCAAGCGACGCAAGCTATTGCAGGGACTTCTGGAGGTAATATTGTATCACCTAACGTGCAGAGTATGCCCACCACACCCTTTTTTCAAGCGTCGCCATCCCCCTTGGAAGTGCAGTTAGCGACAAGATAAAATCCAAAATTTGGGCTAACGAATTTGTACACCTTGGAGCACTGCTCCAAACCGCGGTTCCACAAGAGCGTTTTGCTCTTGGGCTTTCGGCTACAGGCAATGGTAATAAGCCGCAGATTACATTAGAGCCAGCTAGCGCCCCACGTAGATTGAATAGTATTCAGCAGTGGGTCACGGCGTTGCACACGTTTATGGCCATTTATTGCCAGGGGGGCACGGCCGCTTTGCTAAAATATTGTGAGACCGTTCGTGCCATTGCAAACAAAAACGGAGACTGGGCTTACTATGATGAGCAATTTAGATATCTGCGCCAGTCCGCCCCCGATAGGTACGCTTGGGAGGAAGTCCAGTGGGAGTTATGGCTCGAAGCCACTTCAGTTAACTTGCCTTTTCGTCCCCAGAGAGGTAACTTTCCCGCCGGGCGAGTCGGAAAATCACGACAAATCCCTCTCGTTAAAGGAACATGCTTTAACTTTAATAACGGGAGGTTCTGTTCCGGATGTTCCTTTACCCACATCTGCTCCCGATGTGGAGGTAAGCACGCAGCCAGAAATTGTTCAGAGGGAGGGGAGCAACCAACCTCGAGCATTAAGCCTAGTGGAACAACAGCGGCTAGCGCGTCTACTAGAGAGCAATCCAGTCACCCCGTAAGAATTGACCGTCTCACTTCAGTTCTGCGTGATTACGACCCCTTATTAAAAAACGTTTTGATACAAGGCTTCTCATGTGGGTTTCATATTCATTACTCTAATTTAAGATCAAGCTTCGAATCTCCAAATTTGCTTAGTGCCAACGATCAACCAAACATCGTAACGGATAAATTACACAAGGAAATCGAAGCCGGTAGGGTTGCAGGCCCACTTAGCGCCCCGCCGTTCGATAATTTTGTCGTGTCACCATTAGGAATCGTCCCTAAGAAAGCACCCAATGAGTTTCGACTTATACAACATTTGTCATATCCGCATGAGAATTCGGTAAATTCAGGAATTCCGGTAGACTTTTCTTCGGTACGCTATGCGCCCATTCAAGATGCAATAGTGTTTGTAAAACGTTTAGGAGTTGGCTGTTATCTCGCTAAAACTGATATCAAATCTGCCTTTAGAATTATTCCTATTCATCCGGGGGACTATCCGTTACTGGGGATAAAGTGGCAAGGGAATTATTACTTCGATCGCTGCCTCCCGATGGGCTGTAGGTCATCGTGCACCATTTTTGAGCGATTTAGTACGGCACTTGAGTGGGCCGCCAAGCAAATCTTTCAGGCCGACGAGATAATACACGTTTTGGATGACTTTTTGTTAATAGCCAAAAGTAAGCAGTCTTGCGAAAATCTACTGTCATGGTTCATTTCACTTTGTAACTACTTAGGCGTTCCCATTGCGCCCGAGAAAACCGTAGCACCCGAGACCGAATTGCCTTTTGTCGGGATTACTCTAGATTCTATTCGCATGGAAGCTCGATTGCCGGAGGACAAACTCGAGAAATGTCGCACGATGCTGCTGGATTTTTATAAGCGGCGTAAAGTCACGCAACGCGAACTTCAGTCATTAATTGGCCTCTTAAACTTTACATGTTCAGTGGTTTTGCCGAGTAGAGCCTTCGTACGGAGGCTAATCGATCTTACGAGAGGAATTCGAAGGCCCCATTTTAAAATCCGTTTAAACAAAGACGCCAAAAGTGATTTAATCTTTTGGCTATCGTTCTTGGAGCAATACAATGGTCGCACATTTTTTTCTGGACGAAAGAATGTCCGCTTCACGATATGAAATTACTTCAGATGCAGCCGGTTCTAAAGGATACGGGGCTTTATTTAAAACACATTGGTTTTATGGTAGTTGGCCCGAGTCTTGGCAATCACTGAACATCACGGTATTAGAATTGTTTCCTATCGTAATTGCGTTACATACATGGGGGGATCAGTTGGCGGATAAATGTGTGACGTTCGTGACCGATAACGCTGCCTTAGTGGACATAATCAATAAGCAGACGTCTAAATATGGTGTTAACTACTCTTAAATTCAATATTGTCTTTACGGTTCGTCATCTTCCAGGGAAGCTTAACGAGCGCGCCGACTTAATCTCCCGTTTTCAGATAGAGCGGTTCAAGGCAATATCTCCTGGAATGGACGAATTCCCAACGCCAGTTCCCGAGAACCTTTAGCCCAGGAATTGGTCGCTCAGTTGAACGAACTTCTCAATTCTAGTCTAACAGCCGGATCTCAAAAAACGTATCAGCGTGCGTGGACGTGTTATCGGCAGTTTCATGCTAGATTCTACAGTGCTTGCGAAACCCACCTAATCCCTGTGTCAATTGACGCCTTAGCCTTATTCATTTCGTACCTTAGCTCCAAAAAATTTGCCGTTGCTACTATTCACTTATATGTCTCGGCCATCGGCTATGTTCACCGTCTTAAGGGTATTGGTGACCCAACGAAATCCTTTTTGATACAAAAGCTGTTGACGGCAACTAGCTGAAACAGAGTTTCCGATATCCGACCGCCAATATCGCGTCCATTTCTTCACCAGTTAGTAAGTTCGCTGAGTTCGACTCATTCCTCGGCGGCACAAAGGAAGCGATATGCTGCAATGTTTACGACGGCTTTGTATGGTTTCTTTCGCATCGGAGAGCTAGCGGCCAAAAATGTGGATTCGGGCGGGGATGTTCTGCAATATGACAATCTTTGTTTTATATCATCAAACGAGCGCATAAGTATGGCCAAGTTGACAATACGCAAATTCAAACACAACACAGCCAATAAAGCCTTTGAAATCCTAATCGCAAGAGAAAATTCTGTTTTAGTTTGCCTAGTCCAAACACTACTTGATTACTGTGGCATGAGAGGCGCTGCTCCCGGTCCTCTATTTTGTGAAAGTGGTCTGCGCCCGGTCACCATCAGCTCGTTCAATACTACATTAAAACGTTGCCTTGTTTTTTGTGATTCAGACACGAGCCGTTACAAAGGCCATAGTTTCCGCATTGGAGCCGCAACTCACGCTTCCGAGCAAGGTTTCTCTGATTCCCAAATTCGCAGACTTGGTCGCTGGCAATCTGATGCGTTTAAATCGTACCTCCGTTCAGGTGCTTTGTCGGCTAATGCCCAAAACAATTTAAGCTGCTATTTTTGACGTCCCTGATCTAGTTCAGACAAGGGCTGCTATTTCATGGGCACGCGAATTTATCCTTTCTAGACACTCTAGAATAGTTCAGTCATGGGCTGCTATTCTTGCTAGATTAGGGCTATCAATCATTTGCTTAAGGCTTAGTGTTAACTGTACACAGTATTAAGCCACACGTTGCAAGGCAAAGGTTTGTTCAGACATGGGCTGCGGACTAACTGTCTTGTTCACGGGTGGCTAAACTATCCGCGCTTGGATCTACGTTTAACGTTACGATTTTACAAAGCATAGGTCTGTTCAGACATGGGCTGCAGGCCGCTGCTTTTCTATACGATAGTCCTATTTGTACATGTTGTTCAAGCATGGGCTGCGACGTCCTTTTGCATTTATTTGCCAGTAATCGCTTTTCGCGTGATCTGTTTGTTGGCCGGTGGGGTGGCCACAGGTTTGTGGCTTATGGCGGGTTTTTCCCCCACCTTTGGTGTTTGAGATCCAACAAGTTACAGTTTCTGTATATTCAATGTTTATCATTTATTAAACCGTCACGCTGGTGGCATATTTACTCCAAATCCTAGTAGTTGTCATCTCTCTGCGCATCAAACTAGGCGCCAACAGACAGATCACGCACTTAGCTTTGTACACGATGATTGGCCCTAAACAAAAAACACCCATTAAGCTAATGGCTTAATGACATTTTTGTGAAGGGCTAATTTCCTGGTTGTTTGTCTGCATTTGGGATGGAGATAGGGAAATAGTTAGAATTCCTTGCAGGCTCAAATCTAGCCTGCGTGGCAGGCGCAAAAAGGGGAGGGGGAGGGGGGAGGGAGAAAGGGAAAAGGGAAGGGTGCGCCTGCTCTAAGAGCCTATGTTTTTGCATAACGCCTACCAATTTTCTAGTAATCCGATTACGCTTACTGTCAATCAAGTGTCGCTACACTAGCCATTGCAGAAAAACATTACACTCACGGACTAA